CAATTTTAAAATTTCAAAGTTGTTTTATGTTCAACATGTAATTTAAGCAATAAGACCCATCTTGATTCTTAATAGTCAAGAATAAGTGAAAACTGTTGCTGTTAATTTAATGGTAAGTTCTAATAATGTTTATTATTAGCGTATAATTATCATGGCGGTATATCTAACCTATCACAATCAATAAGAGACACGACACCTGATAGACTTTAAATAGCCTTATATCACTGGGACAGGGCTACCTTCCATCCATAGTTCCAGAAATACTTCCTTATTCTTCATCAGAGCCGCTTCCTCCATCTATGCCTGCCATGTGCTTCTTTCCCTGCTCACCCTGGCTGCTCTCTCCTTTATTTTCCTTCTGTTTTTCTCTCTCATGATCTTCCTCCCCTGAAAGCCCTTGAACTTTGGCCACACCTATCCCATTTTGCCTGCCCAGGTTTAGGCCTTTTAATCAACCAATTATGGATAACTGGAAATATTCCTTCTTATCACATGGTTACAGGAGATGAACATTTATAACAATGCCCATAGCAAGGCGGTAACCAGATCTCAATACATAGCAACAGACCAACCCCAAACAAAAAACCCATTTCAATACATGTTGTGTTTTTAATGAGATTTCTAGCCAGGTAGATTTTTATTTGTTTGTTTGCTTATTTGTTTATTGATTGAGAGAGAGAATATCATGGATATGGGTTTAGACATCTTCCCATAGTATATTGTAGAATGTAGTTAATTGATACATGTTCTTTCTAAGATAAGTAAATATGCTAGAAAACTCCTTTAACTGCTGCTCTTCCTCAGCATTGACCCCAATGTGTTTCTTTAACCTTGGTCCATAGAAGGGATATCCTTGTGTGATGATGAAAAGGAGGTAGCACAGCTCTCAGTGGGTGGCTGGGGCCTAATAGCTGGCTCAGAATTATTTCCATGTTGTCCACGTAAGTTGTAAAAGGAATATTCATGTTCTTAAGATTGTTCAGTCTGTGGCTTAACCTTCTGATGATAACTTACATCTCTTGAGAGCTTAGTATGTATGGCAACAGTTAATGTGCATCAACCCCTGAACACACTCAGAACAACCTGTTTTGGAAGGTAGTGGCATGTTAGAAAAGTTTGTCAAAGAGGGGAAGATAGCACATGCACACTGCAAAGCCAGGTGTCTATAGGGTCTGCTGTGGTGTTGGTCCTGGCCTTAAAGAGAGCCATTTAAGTTCACTCACCTGCTAACTGAACCACACAGGTGCTTTATTTTTACCAAGTGTATTTTAGTTAATAAACATATGCCTATAGGATAGTTAGGCTTTTGTGATGTTTTTAGTTATATATAATTCTATCCGAAATATCTTTATAGAAGTCTTTTTCCACTTTTTCTTAAAAAGATTTATTATGTTTACGATGTTCTGTCTGCATGTACAACTGCATGCCAGAAGAGGGCACCAGATCACATTACAGTTAGTTGTGAGCCACCGTGTGGTTGCTGAGAATTGAACTCAGGACCTCTGAAGGAGCAGCCAGTGCTCTTAACCTCTGAGCCATCATTCCATCCTCACCTTTATCTACTATTTTCCCTTTTTTAATTATCATTTATTACAAGTTATTCAATTTGTATTCCAGCTGTGGCCCCCTCCCTTGTCTCCTCCCAATCTCACCCTTCCTCCCTCTTCTCCCTCTGTGCCCCTCTCCTACTCCGCTGATAGGGTAGTGCTTCCTCCCCTTCTATTTGACCCTAGCCTATCAGGTCGCATCAGGACTGGTTGCATTGTCTTCCTCTGTGGCCTGGCAAGGCTGCACCCCCCAGGGGAGGTGATCAGGGAGCCTGTTACTGAGTTCATGCCAGAGAAAACTCCTACTCCCCTTACTAGGGACTCCACTTGGATACTGAGTCTCTGGGCTATATCTGAGCTGGGGTTTTAGGTCCTCTCCATGCATTGTCCTTGGTTGGGGTATCAGTCTCTGCAGGGCTCCCAGGGCTCAGTATTTTTTTTTTGGCTCTGTTGTTCTCTGTTTGGAGCTCCTGTCCCCTCCATGTCTTTCTATCTCTCCCTTCTTTCATAAAGTTCATGCCCTCTGCCCAAAGTTTGACTATGAGTCTCAGCCTCTGCTTTGATACCTTGATCAGTAGAATCTTTCAGAAGCCCTCTGTGGTAGGCTCCTGTCCTGTTCCATGTCTTCTCTGTTTCCAATGACTATTGTGTTTTGTCCTTCTGAATGATTGAGCGTCTTCCCTAGGGTCTTCCTTGTTGTTTGGAATAGAGGAATATTGAATGGCAGAGAAACACTTAAAGAAATGTTCAATGTCCTTAGCCATCAGGGAGATGCAAGTCAAAACAACCCTGAGATTTCACCTTACACCCATCAGAATGGCTAAGATCAAAAACTCAAGTTACAACACATGCTGGAGAGGATATGGAGAAAGGGGAACCCTCCTCCATTGCTGGTGGGAATGTAAACTTGTACAACCACTTTGGAAATCAATCTGGCACTTTCTCAGACAATTAGGAATAGTGCTTCCTCAAGATCCAGCTATACCACTCCTAGGCATATATCCAAGGTATGCGCAACTACACAACAAGAACATTTGCTTGACCATGTTTGTAGCAGCTTTATTCGTAATAGCCAGAAGCTGGAAACAACCCAGATGTCCCTCAATAAAGGAATGGATACAGAAATCGTGGTACATTTACACAATGGAATACTACTCAGCAATTAAAAACAAGGAAATCATGAAATTTGCAGGCAAATGGTGGGAAGTAGAAAAGATCATCCTGAGTGGGGTATCTCAGAAGCAGAAAGACGCACACGATATATACTCATTCATAAGTGTATATTAGCCATATAATATAGGATAAACATACTAAAATCTTTATCCACTTTTAAGGTGATATCTGCATAGCCAGAAATGGAATTGCTGAATTGAAGAATATGAAATTTTAAAATTCCTGATATTTATGCCACCTTAACTCTGTGGAAAGGTTTTCAGCACACTGAGAGCAGGGCATTGGGTTTCCAGCACACTTTCACTGTACTGCGAACAGGGGATTCTCTTTGGGAAGATCTTCTGGTTTGATTATAGAGACTCAGCATCTTTCTATACATTTGTCAACCTGTGACCCCAGCACTTGGAGGTGAGAGAGGCAGATCTCAAGAGCTCACTGGCCAGTCAGCATACCTAAAAACTGAGCTTCTGGTTTTTTAGAAACCCCTCTCCAAAAAAACAGGTGGAAAGGGAGTAAGAAGACAGCTGACATCATGCTGTGACATCGCTTGTGCATGTGCCACACACCTTCACACACAGACATTCTCCCAAAAGAAAAATCTTTCTAATCAAGCATTGTTTTTCTTCCAATTTTGTAGCTAAAGAAACTCTACCAGATTTGGTTTCCATAATTCCTGACACAGTTCCAAGTACTGACCTTCTCGTTGAAACTACAGCCTCTGCTTGTTATACATTGAACAATTTAATGCAGAATAGTTACCAGAATGCACGAGACCTTCTGAACACTGGAGGCCTGCAGAAAATTATGACCATCAGCATAGGGGAAGGGTAAGTCTCTTAGTACCTGCCCATCACTGTCTCCATTTCCTGTCACCAGGACTGGATAAATACTCTAGCTGCAGTTAGTTTTTCCTGAGTTCTATGAGTAACGTAGCCACAAGCAGTATCAGACTGTGGCTGCATCTCCTCTCATTCTTGGTATTGGGCAAGGCAAACACTGAGTGAGCCAAGCTATCTATTCTCTTCTAAAAGATTATATTTACTAATGTAATGGATTAGCTTCCCAGAGTAATGGCTGTGATTTAAGAATAGTAGACTAACCAGGTAATGGTGGCTCATGCCTTTAATTCCAGCACTCAGGAGGCAGAAGCAGGATGATCTCTGAGTCTGAGGCCAGACTTGCCTACAGAGTGAGTCCAGGACAGCCAGAGCTGCACAGAGAAACTCTGTCTTGAAAACAAAAACAAAACAGAAAAAAAAAGTATATTACAGACAAAATGGGATATTACTACATTATATCTTTTAAAAACTCAAATGCCAAACAACTAACTTCTAGATAAATATTATGAATATAAAAACCCTTGACATTAAAGAACTTTATAGAACTTTGAATATGAAACCTATAACTTGGATGAAATTACTTACCCCAAGTGACTCTGTCCCTAGGATACTAACAACACTGTCAGATTCTAACTTGACTCTCCCTTCCTATGAAGCTTCCCACCATGGGAAGAGAAAAGGTGAGGAAGGAGCCCAACAATTTTTTGTACATTATAGTTTTGCTTTCTGTATTCTTGATTGCATGTTAATAGACTTCTGTGCTAAGAATAAGCCCACAATCTTTGTTTGAAAAAGAAAATACACCCATGTGTTAGTAGGTAATAGAGAGTAATGAAATCTAAAAAGAAACTGATTTCTAGCCAGAAATAGGAAGTTTAGGCCACATTTTAAAATGGAGCATCAGGGGGTCTGGAGAGATGGCTCAGAGGTTAAGAGCACTGGCTGCTCTTCCAAAGGTCCTGACTTCAATTTCCAGCAACCACATGATGATCTGGTGCCCTCTTCTGGCTTGAAACCATACATGCAGGCAGAACAGTGTACACATAATAAATAAAAATCTTAAAAAAAAAAAAAAAAAAAAAGAACATCAGAATCCAGTGCCACTGTCAAATCCAGTGGGGAATTAATTAGATCTGTGACAGAGTAAGTTTTCTCTCAGTGCTACACTGAAGACACAAATTATTTTAAAACTGCTTTTAAAAGTACTGCCACACTAGGCCTTCCTCCTCCCAGGGCCACAGGCTACTATGCTGGCGGCAAAGGGCCGCCTGCCTCGAGGTGCTGGCTGTGGAGTTGCAGTCATTGTGCCGTGACAGTGATGCCGGTAGTGGTTTCCGCGACAGCGGATGCAGCAGCTTTAGCTCGGCCTGGGCTCTGGCTGCCTGAGGGTCAGTGCAGTGCCCACCATTTCTTCAGGACCCCACGCCAGTAACGACCATGAGCCAACAGCCGAAGCCACCGGCAATGGCGGCCTCGGTGGCCTCTGGCTTCGCACAGGCCCATCAAGGGAATCCTGAAGAACAAGACATCTGCAGCTTCCCCGGTGATAGCCTTAGCCGAACAGCCCCGCCGGAGAGTCGAAGAGGAGCTGAGTAAAAAGTCCCAGAAGTGGGATGAAATGAACATCCTGGCAACATATCACCCAGCTGACAAAGACTATGGTTTGATGAAAATAGATGAACCAAGTACTCCTTACCACAATATGGTTGGTGACGATGAAGAGGTTCAGAAGGAAGTCTTGACTCCAGATGTCTTAGCTAAGAAATTAGCTGCTGCTGAAGGCTCAGAGCCAAAGTATCAGACTCGGGAACAAAAAAACAGTGGAGAGGAAGATAATGACCTCTCCCCTGAAGAGCGAGGAAAGAAGCAGCAGTTTGAAATGAAAAGGAAGCTTCACTACAATGAAGGACTAAATATCAAATTAGCTAGACAGTTAATTTCAGAAGAACTACATGATGATGACAAAGATGAAGAAATGTCAGAGACTGCAGATGGAGGGAGCATGAATATTGAAGCTACAAATCAAGGATCTACAGCAAGTGACCATCTGCAACACAAATCACAAAGTTCATAAAAGAAATGTCTTCCACAATGCAGTTGTTTGTCAAATACAAACCTTGTTACTATAAACACTGCCTCTTGATCTCTACAATTCGTGACTTGTGAAAATACACACCAGTAATATATTGCCAAGAATTAAGGGATAGCCAGAGACTGATTAGATGGAAAATGTCTAATTATGCATATATTCTTGTGCCTCATACTTCACCACAAATACAATGTAATGTCATTAGTCCAAAATTGCTTTACATTTGTAAGAACACTGGTTCACTTGTATAAGATATTATATAGCTTTTTATACTTTAGAGATTAATGTCATTGGGGGAAACTAATTTATTTTGTCACTTCTAGTCATACCTCTTATAAAATGTTTGGGTGGGTAGTTTGATGTTTCTTTTAATCAAAAGCCTATTCATGTAGTGGGATATATAGATGGATAAATATTTAGGCTGATAGATTTTTTTTTCTACATTTATCTGTAGCTTGTTTTGGCTAATGGAGAAGGCTTCTAAGGGTTACTGTTCATTTTCTCATCTGACCTTTAAAAGTCCTGTTGTTTTTCTTTGTGCTAGAAAGGAAAGGAATGAATTTTTTTCATCCACACTGGTTTCCCCCATTCACACCCACAGTCAATTACCAGGTTAAAGTTGCACTGACATCTCTGCTTGTTTTAGTACACTGGGAAGACTTCAGATAAGGTTCTTAATACCATATGCATATATATAATGCTGAGCTAGCAGATAGATAGATAGATAGATAGATAGATAGATAGATAGATAGATAGATATACCTAGATAGATAGATATACCTGTCTTATATATATACACCGGTATATTTATATACCTGTCTTAACCTGCTCTTGTTTCCCATTCCTTTCTGCTTATATACATACAATTGTAAAGGATGACAAAGGCTTTTGGACATGAGGAACTCTTACTGCATTTTCTGTTGTTTGGTACAGAATGAATTCTCACTTTGATACCTGCTAGTTCTAATACAGGAAGAAACTAGATCTAGTAGTAGCCATATCTATGGCAGGAAGGACAGCAACTTGATCTCTATACTTCTCTGACAGCTTGATCAGTAAATGGCGAATATTAGTTCATTTGACTGTAGACCTTAGAAAACAGTTAACTGAAGCTTTTTGCACAACAAAACCATTGTATGTAATCAGAATATAATTGTTTCTGAATGTACAGACAGAATTGTACCTGAATATTTTTAAATTTAAAGATTTTGTAAAGTCCCTGCTTTAAGGGAATATGATAATGCACACTGTGACAAATGACACACTTGATTCATTTAACATGGTAGAAATCATTTCCCTTGAAGTGTAGTCCCTGTGTGTCTTAGTTTAGTGATGGTTTCCTTTGTAGTCATTTATTTGTATTGTAAGTTTTTGGTAGACCAAATGAATCTGTTATATGACAGACTTTTAAAATAACTTCATTATATATATAACTTTATATATAATGAAGTTATATATAATGAGTGTGTATATATATATTCAGTGTGTATGTGTATATATATATATGAAGATAGGTGTTCAATAAAAGCCATTTCATATATATTTTATTGAACAGCTATCTTCCACTTTAAATTTATGGAACTATCATAATGTCAAAATAAAGTGGTAAGAGTCCCTTGCTTGTTTAAAAAAAAAAAGTACTACCACAAAAGAGTATTATATTAACTTAAAAAAAATGTTTTGCCCCGACATTGATAGGGCCTTTAGTCTCAGAGACATGCGCATTTTCAGTTGTTTTTCTCTGTTGGAGTCTGTAAATATATAAACACACACAACACACACATGTAAAGGCTCCGTAAGTAATTAAAGGATTTAAAACATATATAAATAACATTTATTTTTTTCTCAGTAAAAGTAAGCACTGCCCTTGAAATTTTAAAAGTGCCTCTTAAAAAGTGAACTCTGCCTTCAAAGTTATCCTCTTTGTATGACAAGCAGCAATCATTGAAGCCATATTGAGTGAAGACTTGAGGAACGTGAAGGGAATGGTTGAAGTGCCATATTCTCACTGACCCAGAAGCATCTCTCTCTTTTCAGCTCTACCCCCAACAAAGCCAGCAAAGCTGCTTCTGTCCTCCTGTACTCCCTGTGGGCGCACACAGAGCTCCATACTGCCTACAAGAAGGTGAGAACACTGACCAGATAAAAGGAGACTTGGTACTCATGAGAAGTCAGCACCTCCTCCTCCTCTTCCTCTTTCTTCACACTTACACATATATACATATGCACACATCTATGAAATCTATTGACTTTACAAGCTTAGCTTGTGTCTGAGGCTGACTACATGGGATTAGACAACCTGTGTAGGAGTTCATTCCTGGGAGTAGTTGGTTCTCTCTTTCTCAGTGACCCTTGACCTTCTGTAGCTCTTCATCTAGGAGAAGGGTAATGTGAAATTTCCCATGTCTACATTGGTATGTCAACTGGAGGTACCATTTTGCTGGTCTTTTTCAAATGATTATATTATTGAAAGTTCATGGGTCCATTTTTGCTGATCATATCTCAACAGACGTCATGGACCTCTGGCTCTTAAAATCTTTCTATCCTTTTCTTCCATGGTTTTCTCTGAGCCTTGGGTATAGGCTTGCATTGCAGATGTATCAGTTGTTGTTAGGCACTCCACAGTCCCTTATTCTCTGCATTTAGATCAGTTGTAGATCTCTGTAATAGTCTCTGTGTGTTGCAAAAAGAAACGTCTTTGACACTCACCAGAGGCTATAAGGAAATTGTATTTAGAATACAATTAGAAATTATATTGACTTAGGATCTGGCAGCAGCAGTTCCTCCTCTTGGGTATATGGCCTCCCCAGGGTTTATAATACCAGACATGATTTCCTTCCTGTTGAGCAATCCTTAAATCCTATTAGGCGGTTATTACCTCCAAGATAAAAGTGCCCCTCGTACAGAGCTGTGGATATCTTGCCAGACCAGTCATGATTGTTGTACACTGCAGCTGGCGACAATTATTAGTGATCACTCCTCTCCCTTGGCAACTTGCATGGCACCTTCCTATATGTGAGAGTCACTCCTTAGGAAGGAGAATTCCAAGTCAGTTCCAGCTCAGTTCCTCCAAGTCCTGTGTCCACAGTGTGTGGTGTCTTCAACAATAGGGATTTATCTTCAAGTTCTGGGAAGCAGCCATGGAAAACAGTAATAAGCCTAAGTTGCTTTGGGAGTCTCTTGGACCCTCCTGATCAACAAATTGAGAAGTGTTTTCTCACAGGTACTAGGGGTTTTGTTAGATAGCCTATGGCTTTGGGGCGGGGGAACATTATCACCCCAAGTGGCATAACTTCCTTAAGCTACATATCATGTATGCACATAGATATATAGTTTTAGGTAAACATGAAATAACTTGTTATGTCTTTTCAAACATCCTTAGCATTATTTGTCCTTCCTTCTTCTTTTTTCCTCTGTATTGCCCTCCTCATCTCCAGTTAAAACACCCCCATCTTTTCCATTTCCACCTTCATTTTATCTGTTCTTTTATCTTGATTATATCATTCCCTACTCAAGAACTTTCCCTTATTCCCCTGCCCCCAGCCCAACCTTTCCCTTACTCCCTGGCCCTACCTTGGTCCATTTTTATTGTTCTCATTCTGCAGATAATCCAGGCTATATACTTATATATATAAAGGTTAAGAGCGGGAAGCCCCAAATAAGAGAAAACCAGTGAATTGTTTTTCTGAGTCTGGGTCACCTTACTCAATAAAATGTTTTAGTTTCATCTATTTACCTGCAAATTTTATGATTTCACTTTTCTTTACAGCTGAATAGAATTTCAGTGTGTATGTGTACTGCATTTTCATTATCCAGTCATCAGTTGAAGGGCATTTAGGTTGTTTCGAAAAAACTATTTCAACAGCTTTAGCAATTAGAAAAAATGGAAATTAGAACTACTTTGAGATTTCTTCTTACCCTAATCAGAATGCCAAGCTCAAGAGTACAAATGACAATGAGTACTAGTAAGGATTATGGGAAAGCAGCACCCTCATTCACTGTTAGGGTTGCAAACTGTTACAGCCACCCTGGAAATCAGTGTGGGAAATTCTCGGAAAGATAAAAATAAATCTACCTATACCACCGTTTGACATATGCCCTAAACAACTTGACATCCTACTGCAGAGACACATGCTCAGCCATGTCATTGCTGCTCTATTCACAACAGCCAGAAAATGGAACCAACTTAAGTGTCCTTCAACTGGCAAATGGATGAGGCATTTTCTTATGGGAGGATTTAGTAGCCTTTTACATTTTTTGTCTGCTTCTTCCAAAGGCTCAGTTTAAGAAGACAGACTTTATCAACAGCCGGACCACCAAAGCCTACCACTCCCTTAAAGACTGATGAAGGTGAAAACAGATACAGAAAAGAAAAAAAAAAACCTACTCAAATAAAACACCTATTTTTCTACTAACAGACCCAAGAAACCTCAAAAAGCATGCTTTGTTTATATTCTTTTCTATTTTCATTCCCCAAATCTAGAAAATGAATTATCAGAACATAATTTTGTTAAGCATACTAAAGACTTTTACAAGATTGCCACCAGTACTGGCTATGAAATCATTTTCTGATAATGATACAGACATGGTATCATTATCCAAGCTTCCAGTATGTGTGAATTCATGTGAGTGAGCATCAAAGGAATACCTGAGGAGAGGCATTATATGCCCAGACTATGAAAGTGTGATTGACATCTTTATCCCGCCTATCTTCTCATTCTTGTCACTCATCTGCATGTTACTTCATTATTAACAGTGTTGAACAAAGGACAAGAATAAAGCATTGATGGCAAATCGTTTAATCTGTGATTATTCTTGACCCTCTTGGTTACTTTTTTTTCTTTCTTTAATTTTAATGAATGTTAAGAAATGTAGATTACAGAGTTGCATGACAATAATACAAGGGAACTAAGAAGTGGTCATAGCAAACTTTAAAAATCTGGCTATATATAAAGACAAGTATTGGTTCCGAAATTCTGCGTTCT